TTGTTAAAAATATGAATGTGTATGTGTTGACTAAAATGGAGACTAGTTTAGAGACTGGTTTAAGAGATAATAAATACGTACTCTCTAGTCCAATAGGAATATTGTTTTAATATTATTTGATGATTAAGATTTCTATTAGCAAACATTATCTAACTAATGTAAACTCTTCAAACTATATTTACTTTTATAAAATAAGTCTCGAAATCGAACCAGGGAGACGAAGACGCTACTTTTTCCTCTATTTATAAAGCAGTACATGTTTAGTTCTGTGGAAGTCAGCATTCAAAACAAAATAAAAGTCATACAAGTTATTATAATACAAAACCAACATTCACGACCGCTCGCAGGAAAAATAATCCTTATCAAAAGCAACTATTATTTAAACAAATAATTCCCATAACGATTACGATGTCGGTCTAACATAAACTTGTTCAACAGCTAAATAAATTACACTGCACTCCAACCAGCCACAAACAACATCAAACAATTATCACTTTTATCAAAAACAGCATAACGTTGATTATCGCACAAATAACACAATGATTATAGCATTTGTATCATGTATGTAAATACAGCATAGTTTGTGAGTCATACCGAAATATTCCGAGTAGAGAGATCAAGGCTTCAGAAGGGAGGCTATTGGCCTATCAATATGTTAAATCACTGTACACATAGATAACACTAAACCTTGTACCGGTAAGGATAAAGTCGTAAATCGATTAGCTGCTAGCGTCCTTTGTGGATAGTCTGCACGAGTTTTTATGTCAGAAAGCTCTTAAACCAACACCGACATTGATATCGTATCTTTGGCATTATGTAACATTCTTAAAGTAAGTAAATCAATATTGCCAAGCTTCCAATATGCCAGGGAAATTGGTAGTTTTTCCCTAATATAGTTATTTGAAAATGTATTTTAGAGAGCACTTAATAATTCAGTGGTAATTTAAGATAATCAACAACTTCCATTAAGTCTAAAAACCGACTAACACAGCTAGGGAAAGCCAGTAAGTAAGGCCCTAAATAATTTTGCGCGAATAAATGGACACTTTATACTGTGAGTTATTTCTACTAACACACAAATAAAGAGACTGTAATGAGAGTGTTCGACTGTTTTATGTGCTAAAGCTATCTCACCAAGCGTCGTCGAGTTAAAAACATAATACAAGAGTGGCGTATAATCCTTTGTGTGCAGTTGACTAACGCAGTCAGCACTCCGAACATGTTTTATTAAATCCAAAGTCCGCAGTCTCAGGGTGCTGTCATCATTTTTTGTACTTTTATCACAAGTTAAGGTCAACTTATATTAGTATCGTGCAGCGGGACGCACAAAGAATCTAGCTTATTCAAGTCTCGTACACACAGTCGTATCTGTTTTCTCCACAGCCCACAGCGGTAAGCCAGATAACATAATAGAGAAATCCTTTGTTTGCTGCTCGCCGTAACCGAGATCATACAATAACACAGATCGAGACAAGCGATCACGATGGAATTCGATATCGCTTCTATTTGCAAACGGACGATTGTAATCGGAAACATCGCAAAGTTGACAGGCACAAACTAAACACGTGCACAATAGGAGTCGGTGTTATCGGTGCGTGTTTAACGACGCCCGGCCGGCACTACATCCACGGGTGAAATTTCGAAATATCCGCACACACCTTGTGCAAACCCGGGCCTGATGTGGGTCAGCCGCACGCGACGTTATCTCGGGCGCCACCGCCACACACGGATAAACAAAGAACAAGTTGACTCGCGGAAATACTGAGCCGAACGCTCCACACTATTTCACACAAAAAATTGCATCCAACTGTAACCGGCAGACGTAAAACAAACACAAAACCACCTCATCGGTCGAACTGTCAACATTATAGAGGAACGGCGGTATCCGCGGCGAGGTCATCGCTTCCATTCTAGCCGCAAGTTTCACGTAATCACTGGTACTAAACGCGTAAATACTACGGCCGGCGGCAGCGCAACGGAACAACGTTCGCTGCAATCGCGCGGAGATTTCGAAATGCGAAATTGTCACCGGTGCTGCGCGCGCGCATACGATATGATCCGTCTGGGAGATCGCGCACAGATGGCGCGTTGCGTCGCGCGAAAAACACGCGTACGCGCGCCGGTTTTCACAATGCCACTGTTTCCCGCAGCAGCAGCGCGGCCACCGGCCGAGTCAATTAGCCGCTACGACCTCCGCGGTCCGCACCACTCCGCGCGCCAAACTACGGCAGCCGGACCCACCAGCCACCAACGACATGATCCGACATTTACATAACTTAACGCTATCATAACATTTGCAGTAGGCACACCAGTTTAGTGGATCATAACTTCTCAAGTGTTGTGCGTGCGAAACATCATGATTGGTCGCTCCACTCGTAATCATATCGAGTAGAGACCGGATCGTAATTTTTATGATGAGTTCAAATTGGCGCGGACGGCTGCGTGACGTCACGGGACTGGTGCGCCCGCGCACTGTACGCGGACATTGCCCGACTTACATTAATAACTTGACATGTTTATGAGATGGTCTCATCTTTTATTTTTCAGTACATTAAGTGTTGAAAGACGCACGTACGATGGCGAAAAAAATTAGGTCGACAACAGTGTACGTGTCGATTAAAATAGAAGGAAAATGTTAAAATTTTATACTTCCTGGTTTGTGGTGCAGCTATAAATAGTTTAGTTATAGTTTTTTAATTCCCCCAACATACATACTTGTACTAACTTTGAACAAAAAACTGCATTCATAGTATTCAACGCAATACCATCCACTCATGCCATTAAGCTACGTCACAAATCGACCATCTAGATAAAGCAACAGGCGGGATGCAGTGCTGCACAGAGCGGGCCTGTGTCATGATCTATCAGGCATATTCCACCCACTTCTTCCGCGATCCATGTTATAAATACTTATAAACAACTCATAAATCCATTTGAGCAATAAACTTTTTTTATTGTTTGATTAAAATGTGTTCTGGAACGAGCACAGGCTGCGTTGCGTTCAGCCATCTTGTGCAACTAATATGTTGTGTGGGCGCTTCCTTATGTACTTAATAAAATGTTTATAAATGTACTTTCTTCCTCGGGTTAGTATTTATTTGTAAGCTATACGACGACTGCCTAGGGGCTAGGCTAGGGGTCTCGGATTCGATTCCCGGGTCATGCAAAGTATTACTGGGTCTTAAAAAAAATCTCAGTAGTAGCACGAAGTCTATAAAAGTGTCTGATATATGGCAATAGGCTGAACCCCTATTACATGGGACTAATAATATAAATAGTGAAAAGTGGGTGTTACATTGTACAGTGGTATAATGTGCACCTCTGCCTACCCCTTTGAGGATAAAAGGCGTGATGTTATGTTATGTTTATGCTATACAGAGTCAAGTGTAAAGACGTTGGTTTGATATTAAATATTTTGTCGAATTTTACTACTTATTGGCTTACTAGGAACTAATATAATGACTGAACTTGTCACAGATTCAAATCTGGCATCGAACAATTTTATTGTGTGATCCTCAAATTGTTTTTAGTTGCTTATGATGAGCTTGTAGGCTTGCTAGCAAAACACCACTTGGAAATTTACCTGTGTTATGAATGCTAGTAGCAAACTGGATTCGGTAAACAAAACCGCTATGTAATTGTATGTTATGAATAAATATTATTTAGGCACTTATACTTCAAACATGTGAATGATTTAATAACACGACAATTAAAAGATATTTCATTTTACTGAATCATAATAATAGATTTAAATGACATGCTAAAGTATTGTTAAACAAAGAACAATTAAATATTTAACGATCCGTGATGTTACTCCTCATTGCCCACAAATATTGCGACACATACATATTTAAAATAGTGATTGAAATATAACACCTATTATGTAAAGTAATCGATTGTCACTGGTGAATAAGTTATTTTTATACATTTATTTGATACCTGTCATTCTCTGACTCCGGAGACCACGCCCGCTACTCATGCATGAGGGTGCGGCTTCAAAACCTACCAACAGCAAGTACCAATTAACTAGCAGCCTCCAGGCTGCTCATGAGGAAGAACCCCTCTGTGGTTCGAAACTAGTAGAGCTTTTCTCAGTATATACACGTAAGTAACCCGCGATTTTTAGTTAATTTAGTATCTCACGATAGTTACTATAAAAACATAGAAAGTACCAATGTGACTTTTCCCGAGCTATAAGTACTTTCTAAGATTATTCAAACACCACTGACTAACGGTGAAGGAAAACATCGTAAGGAAACCTAAGCTTATAACTTCTAATCATAAGTTTGAAATTGCCAACCCGCATTGAGCAAGCGTGGTGATTAATGCTCAAACCTTCGCCGTGTGGGAAGAGGCCTTTAGTCAGCACTGGCCATTTAAAGGCTGTTGATGTTGATGGTGATGATTCTTTAACATTAATTTTATATAGTGCTTAAGTACCTAAATTAAATAGGTATTGCGTCTATAGTAGGTTTAGGGCTTGATAGACGCTGTTAGTTTAACTATATTTGGACTCATTCCGTATGAAAAATATTTCTATTATCTGTCAGTTAAGTTGACATATAGGTCCCAAACCTACCTACAGATCACACAAATTAGACGCACTTATTGAGTAAAGACTGTTTTTTTTTAATAATGTTCGACCATTAGGTACACTGACAGTTTTGAAATCAAAATCACTTTGCCTTCGCAAAAATGGTACCCAAGACTGCACTCACGGAGTTTGTGGTAACATAAATTGACCAACAAGCCATTCACAAAACACAAGAACTCAATATTTCAATATATCCAGGTGCTATTATCTAATACAAAAGCGTATGTAACACAAGCGTATCAATTAATACGTGGTTAATCACTAATACGTTAATTAGTTTACCTCATCGTCCCAACTTGTGAGCAAAGACAAACTTCGCAACAAATTCCACTATCAGACAATGTAACTATGAATTTAATATAGCGGTACACGAAAGTTGCTCGGCGCGAAATTACACTGGGATACATTAATTAGGGTGGAAGTTCGCAGCGCCATCTTGCGGGGCTGCGGTCCCTACACCTGTGCGAGAAAACCCAATTCTCTTATCTTACATACCGGTATAAAGACGACTGTTTATAAACATATCTAATTTTAATTCCGAGGAGTCACCTCGAGCGTGAACCCGCTTGTTACAACACATTGTCAAAGCATTTGTTGAACAATAAATGTAAGAGACTTATCAGACACACCTTACATCGTCAGAAATATCAATTAACGGTGGGCGGATTAAACGAATAGCCGTTAGGAAACAACAGCAATCCCATTCGAGGGCGGGCCACGTATTCAATTAACAGAATAGGATTCTGAATTGTCGTTCATAACGCTCGCAAAGTTAATTAAAATATCCCTAATTGCAGAGCGACTACAGGCGGTTGGACGAACAAACCGTGGCCCACGTTGGGCGCCAAAATTTCCCACAATGTTTGTACTTTATTAGAGCAAGTTCCTCCGCCCCTGTTTGCATACAAGTTTGGGCCGCTTCCGTTTTATTTACAAATGGTTTGGAGCGTACGCCAAGTTACACGAACGCCTCACTAAATCCTCGCGGGACGTGTGCTCGGACTCGGCCGAAGGTGGCTCCCAACTCCTACACGAATGTACGATTGTTAGCCACGATTATGTGTGGAAACTTACTCCGCTCGCCGTATTCATTACCGGACTGGCTAATGAATTGTGGAAGATAGAATATTCCTAAATAATATTGCATTTGCTTGAATGGGAATATGCTAATTGAGCTTGTTCCACCATATTTTCGTTTTACTTAAATCATCCAAAGATTTATGATCTGTCTGTAACACAAACCTATACTTAGAACATATCCTGCTCTACCTAGACAAGTTCCCTCAAAATCACGTACAAGCTGGAAATAAAGTGTAGCATTGAATGAATTTATTCTTACATTCAATTCCATGTCCGAAAACGTACCGTGAAGGAAGAGAAAACAATAACAGAAACTGTAACAAAGCTATCACATTTCCGAATCCGCCGAACGTGAGTGGATACGTCTGATCGCTGCGACGGACGGCAAAAAAATGAGGAAATATCGCTGTCGACGTAACGCCAATCTGAATATGGAAATGGCCACCGCCCGGATTCGCAATGCGGGTAGATAAGAATTTTATAGCGAAAGTACCGGGCCGGGTAAACATTGTGCAAAATGCTGCGATAAGTGAGCTACCGAATCGTCATCGGTATAATTCCGCCGATAAACCGGCACAACATTCTGTATCGTACATTGTACGGACGAGAGGGACACGTCCTCGCACGGACATATGCCGTAAATTGTTTGTCTGTATTTCCGCGATTGGGGTAGGTTGGGGTGCTTTAGTATTTTCGTCGCCTAGTAAGTGAGAGCTTATTAGTTAGTATGTATATAACAAGGGGTTAAAGCTAATGCGTTTTAAAAATAAACAAGTTTACTGTTAAATTGTTAATTGTTAGTTATAACATCGAATAGTCTGTTTGCCTATTAGAAAATTAAAACAGAAATTTTAAAGGTACCAATTTAAGTACCTTTTTCCGAGTTATATGTACTTTCTAAGATTATTTAGCAACACTGCGATCTCCAACTCATCTGCCAAGTGGAGAGAATACCTATGGGAAACCCTGCAAGTCTAGAAGTGAACTGTGACGCGCTATTCATGGTGTTAATAATGTATAAAAGTAATGTAAATGAGTAGCTGGTAAATCGCATAGAAATTGTAAGTAACAAAAATTACAATGTATATCCAAAATGTACATTTTAGGATTTTCGCTCGGATTAACATCTAGTCCAATAATTATCCGAGCGAAGAAAAATATTAATTAATATTGTAACTCAACTTCAAATTAATAAATCAATCAATATAACGAGCGTGTATAACATTATATTTAATTTACGACTCACGCAAACTATTCATTATTTTACAAAATATTAATAAAAACACAAGTAACGTAGACCACGATTACTTAATTTTACCGATTATACATACCTACTTTTGAAAGAACATTATATTTGTTCAACCGTACCCAATAAGAGAAAACCAATGCCTTTAATACCTACTTTAATCACTCCTATACCCCCAAGATTATTAAAAACTCGGACGATATTAAACCTCTGTGGTCCGAACGGTGGCGACAGCGCCATCTATCACGTTAAGCGCGAACTACTACAGCCATAAAACCCTGGGAATGACTGTGACAAAGTGTCTCTACTTAAACTAAAAGCGATGTAATTAATCAAGCGCTTTTTATTTCATAATAACACTCTAAGCTTGAAGCCTGGAGATGCCTTATTTAATTCTTGTAAGATAAACGGTTTCATTCACACAAAAAATAGTCTTTTCTGATGATAAAAAATGATTTCTTAATAAAAAATATTTTTAGTTTATTACTTTCCTATAAATATAACTAATAAAGTGGACGTCTATTGTCTATTTTTAAACTATTCAAACACACCCAAATAATTACTAAGAAAAGTTTTTGTTAAATAACTCTGTCTGACAAGTAAAGCCACTGTCATGTCGTTAAAAACTAATGACATACCTAAATACCTACTTGAATTTCATTGGTCTACCGAATCTTTGGCTAACCAATCACAACTCACTTGAATTTTTGTCGCAAACAACCATATTTGTTTAGGCTATCTAAGCAAAGTAGAACAAACAATATGTCGTATGTTTACCTAAAGTAAGTTTATTTATATTTTACGTTTATTAGTTTAGGGCTCCATAAGATAGTAAGATAGTAGATGTACTTGTAGGCTAAGGTTTAAAGGAATTTAATAAAGACACTAAAATTCCTTTTTTTAAGGGGGAAAATCATCGAATCACTTCTCCCGGCTGGGTGAGGCGGGAGGGAGTGTCAGACTCTTACTGACTAAAAACCACCCCGTTCTGCACTTCAAGCCGTAGCCCTGGTAACCCGTTAAGTCCACCGTAACTCTGTATAGATTCTTTATTTACCACTAGTCTGCCCAAAAGTAGATCTACCAAGCAAGACTATAATAAAAGCAGATGATAAGAGATTAGCGTTGTTTATATTTAAAATAAAATAAAAAAAAAACAGTGTGAAAATAATGATCACCACAGGGAATAATTAAAAGCATAAATATTAAAATGGACACCTAATCACAGACCAAATACAAATTGGGTACTTTCCTTAATCAATAAACAATAATTTCGACTGTTCAATAAATTAAATATTAATAAATAACCACACTTTCATTAATTGTGACCTACTTCATATCAGTAAAAAAAAATTAAGAAATAAGTATGCTGTTGACGCTAAAAAAACGTGACGTCACAATACACAATCTCGTCATAGGAAACTGTCGTTTTAGACAGTTCGAAAAAAGTATTGAATTTGACTAGTTGGCAAGTACCCAATTCGTTTATTTTAAAAATTATTCAAAAAGACAATCTCAAAATCCGATTACATCACTCACTAGACGAAACGCAACACAAGGTTGTTAAAGGCCGTGGTATCACTTCTTTTATTTATTCATATGTAGGTACTTAAATCTAAACTTACCGTGAACAGTGAGCTCGGAGTCCCTGTTGATCTCGTAGAGCCGCAGCGCCTCGTCCAGCTCCAACTGCGTCGATATGGTGCACGGATCGCCTTCCTCATCCACCCACTTCATAGTAAACACCTACAAAACATAAAACATAGTTTTATTTATACGGAATCTTTTGAGAGCCATATTAATAAAATGTGATTGAAAGTTGCATTTGAGTGTTAAACTTGAGTCTGGTTTGATAAAATGCAGTAAGGAGTTGCTGTAGCAACACCAAAAGTAAGTATAGCATGTAAATAGGTAGTCTACTCTACTTACTTAGGTAGATTTTGGTATAAAAATGTATGAATGATTAGTGTGAAAACATAAGTTACAGTACATTATTATTAATACATTCATTCTACATTATTAATAAATTGTCAATCCGAAACAAACTTTCGATTCAATTAAACACATAACATAACATAACATCACGCCTTTTTATCCCCGAAGGGGTAGGCAGAGGTGCACATTTCGGCACTTAATGCCACTGTACAATGTAACACCCACTTTTCACTATTTATGTTATGAGTCCCATGTAATAGGGGGTGAGCCTATTGCCATATACCGGGCACATTTCCAGACTCCGTGCTACCACTGAGATTTTTAAAAACCCAGTAAACTTTGCCCGACCCGGGAATCGAACCCGAGACCCCTTGCCCGGGAGTCGCACTTGCGACCACTCGGCCAACGAGGCAGATTCAATTAAAATAATATTAATTTTATTATTTATTTATTTAGGCAGTCAGTTGAAGCAACTGAATTAAACATATTATAATTAAAATATAGCAGTACCTGATCAGGCATGAAACGGCATATAGCCACCATCTCCTGCGTGAACTCTTCGAAGTTGATGTTGTGGTTGATGTACGTGATCATCACATCACCGTTGTACACCGTCTTCACTCGGACATCGTTCTGGTGGTTATCCTGATTCACCAGTTGAGTCGGCATCATGACAGGTTTGCCTTGAACCGTTTACTTAATATTGCACCTGAAATTTAATAAAAAATAGTTATTATCCAGTTGTTTGTTTTAGAAAACTTATTTAAACTGTCAAACACCAAGCGGTCACTGGTGACTGCGACCTATTGTTCTTTAATTGTGTCTATAAAACCGGTACTCGACGAGTTAATAGATAATTTGAGTAGATTCGAATAGAATTACGAAATGTTTATTAAATAAATGTCATTATTTTTGTTTGTCCTAAAACTCTAGACACTAGTTGTCAGTGGTTATTTTCTGGCCTTGGCAACAAGAGTCTGATTAAACCTTTCAACATTTTACCGAAGTATGAAATAAATATAATTGTCATTATAAAACCCTAAAAATATTTCTGCATTTTCAAAACAAATGTGTAGTCTCAATAATACTAGTTAGCAGCTATTAAAGACAGGGAAATGTTCAGTAATACACGCTAATACTGAAAATTACCACCTCACTTATGAAAGCAAACAAGTTATGAAACACACTAAGGTATTAAACAAATAATTAGGACTTAATATTACTGAGTACCAATGATGAGGTATTTAAAGTTTTTTCTAACACAACGGAAATCTTCATGAATAGTGGCGTATCTATACTAATCTACTAATCGAAGGGCATGGCAAATTTATCAGATGGGTGCCCTTCGCCTATTATACATATAGGTCCAGTGAAAATCTATGAACAGGGGCTTAGAGCCCTTGGCATTATGACAACTTGCCATAACTTGCTGTAGTTATGCCACTGCTTGCAACAACTATGCCTCATGAAACAAGAAAAAGTATATTCAATTAAAGAAGAATTATTGATCCATTCTGTTCTAACTTTGCAAAAATTTGAATAGGCGTATTTAAATATAGCTAATGAGCATATTAGCATATTCATCTGTCCAGTTAAACCAATAGTAATATAAAAAATATGAATCTTATTGGAATCTTTTAATATGCATAACAAGTTTTAAGTTTTAATCAAAGGAATTATAATTATTAGTCAATTCTTTAGAGAAAATAGGTATGACGTGTTACAGGTATAAACAATTTGGATGTAAGATGAAGCCGCGGTAAACAGCTAGTATCACATGAAGTACACCCACTTTTTGATAATAGATATTGATTTATGATTCTCTATTCTAGATGAGGAAAGATATAGAAGTTTTCATACAATACAACTACAAAATTCACTATTCATTTTTATAGAATCATGTTACAAACTTTTTGACAAGTTTCAAAAGTAGTTGATGACAATATAGTGATTATGGTACTAATACTTTTTAACACAAGCAAATGTTCTTGACGAGGACACTATATAGTAGGCACAGTTACTTATTTGAATACAATACTATACAACACAAAGCCTTATTGTTTCACATAGAACCTACTCAGACATTACAAAATTATGAGTTAATAATTTTTTTTCGTAAATTTCAGCGAATGTTTGTCTGAAAAACCTACTAGGTTCACATAAAGCATGTGCTGTATGACAGTGAAATGCAGCAGCAACGATTATAGGGTTTCTAGAGGCCATAACTTGATCATAACCTAGTGCAAATAGGATTACCTTATTTGTAATCTCTGCGCCGCTATATACTTTACTAACACAAGCTAATTGCGGCTTCACTACACCTACTTCCCGTTTAGGCGCGTATAATACAACCTTTATAATAATAACTGTGATAACATTCTCGTAACGTGAATCATTTAAATAAAGTGTAATTAAGTACACAATGCAAACCTTTCAGAGAATTCACACTTCACGTAACTCGGTTCCTTCAATGCTTACACAAAATGGGATCACAATCCCATTGATAAAAGTGTTAATTTATGTAATACACAATAATTATCGAAATTATAAGTAATAACAACAAAACTTTGACACACACAACATCATTCACAAACTGACATTTAACCGGAAACAGTTACATGTTTTCATTGAAGATGACGCTTTCTTTCTTCCTATAGGAATTTTAGTGTGAAAGAGTGAAATAGATATACCGGTGTCTCACTATCCGGCAACATTCCTCAGCAAAGTTTATAGTGACGTGCCAGCTGTTTCCGGCCTCTAAAGAACATGTTTACACAAATCCGTATCACTTTTCAAAATTCCATATTATTCTAACGTCTAAAATACATGTTTTGAAAAAAAATAACAAGAAGAAATATACACACTTGTATTAAAGCCATTGCCGTTTTAGACCATATTTAATTTTCAATACAACTTACAAGTTTAGTAAGTGAAGCTATCGAGAATAGCTGTTGTTCGTTCAAAAACAATAAAAAATGTTACAGTGAGACACTAACCTAAAAACCATTTCCAAACGTAAGCTGCTTTTGTCAAATTACGTCAAGTTATCAATTCGGGTTGGGATTTCCTAATATTTAGAATAAAACAATTCTAACAGTAAAAACAATTGTAACTAATTTGTTATATTTATTTTCAGTTTCTATATTCTCGTCTAATCATGGTAAGTTGCCTTTTTGTGAATTGGAACAGTCGTAATCTTCTATAGCACTATTTGTTATGATGACTAATGCACCAAAATTAACGGAATTTACTAAATCTCTGTTATGTTTTATCGTGATTACAGACTGACCAACAAATGGACTGTGCGTTGGACTTGATGCGGAGGCTGCCTCCGCAGCAGATTGAGAAGAACTTGACAGATTTGATTGATCTGGTGCCTAATATGTGCGATGACCTGCTATCTTCAGTAGATCAGCCTCTAAAGATTGCTCAGGACCGTAGCACGGGGAAGGATTACTTGTTGTGTGATTACAATAGGGACGGAGACTCGTACAGATCGCCATGGTCGAATACTTACGACCCTCCACTGGAAGATGGGTCTATGCCTTCAGAGAGGCTGAGGAAATTAGAAATCGATGCGAATCACGCGTTTGACCAGTACAGAGAGATGTACTTCGAAGGTGGAGTGAGCTCTGTGTACCTGTGGGACATGGACCATGGGTTTGCTGGTTAGTTTTGTATTGATATTCAATTATAGGTTAGGAAGTTTGAACAGGAAACATAACAAGTTGATTATTCTTCAATATATTTTCCTTTACTATTTTCTGAGGTTGTTTGCATGTTTCTAAGGCTGTGAAAATGTTAAGAGAACATACTAGACTATGAAAGTGAACCTAATACTATTGTATTAGATCGATAGAATTATTCACTGTTGTAGATGATTAAAAATGATATTGATAAATGAAGTGCAATACCATATTGAGTTTATGCATGATTTTATGCTACAAAACTATTCAAATTTATTACTTAGCCTTTCAATTTTTGCTATATCAAATTTTCAAGATAACATTTCTTGGTATTCTTTATCAAATCATAATGTTCATGTTTATTATTAAGTTTAAAACTGTAATTATTGAAGATTTCTGTAAATTATTTCAGGTGTAATATTGATAAAGAAGGCAGGCGATGGTTCCCAAAAGATCAAAGGTTGCTGGGACTCAATTCACGTAGTGGAGGTGATTGAGAAGAGCTCGGGTCGGAATGCTCACTACAAACTCACATCAACGGCCATGTTGTGGCTGCAGACCAACAAGGAGAGCAGCGGGACCATGAACCTTGGAGGCAGTCTTACCAGACAGGTACATACTGTACATCATTTATCAATTTTTTTAAGTGGTTAATGAGATGAATGTTCCATCATAACTTACACAAAATATGTTTAGCAGTAGACTTAACTCTTTACAGACTTTGCATCACTTTTTAATGATTGAAATTCAACTAACATGAGACCAAGACCTAAAAGTGATGTTTTCACACTTATCATGGTTAGTTACAAATACTAAATCTGAGGAGTTAATACTTGAAGTATATATCCTTACCATAATGATTTACTGGACTATATATTTTTTTTTTTTTTTGGTTAAATCAGCCATTTACCTCTCTCACCTTGTGTTAGGCGGAAAGGAGTGTCAGACACTTACTGACTAAAATCCACCGTTCCAACTCCTGCTCTTCAAACCGAAGCCCTGGCAACCCGTTAGGCTACTGTTCTACCATAGCCTTGTATTCTGGTTTAAAGTCAATGCCATAAATTGTTAATAAATAATTCAAAATTTACTTGTTTAGGTGTAATCAAAAATGGATGAAAAAAAACGAGTGCTTGCTATAGAAAAAAATTATTTAATATCATGTTACACGAATTCATCTTGCAAGAGATTTCAGTTATTCATAATTTCAATAAGGTCATGAGAGAATTATAAATCTCATTAAGTATAAAACAAGAATAATAATAATGTAGAATTAATTATGTCCCACTCCTCTTTTGCCGTTCCTCTAAACTTTAGTGTCGATTTTTTGTTTTAAAAAAAATCTTATATAGCAATGGACTCTATAAAAGGAGATTATCTCATTTTATCCCTCTGTTCCCGGATTTCCTTTTAGCAACAGTGCAATATATATATTTTATGCTGTAGACTATATATTATGTAACTGAGATATTAGTAGTATACATAAAAATTTTATGGTATATTATTTACCTAATTATTTTGTTTTATCATTGGCATATCTGTAGTTTAAGTTTAATTGTGGATAAGTCACATTTTATGTGCAACTAATGGCAGAAATTACTGTAATAAATATAAATACTTAAATTCTATTTGTAGATCATAGGTCACAAAATCCTGTATAGGATTTATATTGACTAAATATGTTGCCATCAACGGCATACATATGACAAATGTAATTAAGCTGATTATGGTTGTCTCTACACATAATATACAAGACCTCCTTGAAACAGAGTGTTATACCCTAGTTATCTTGATATACTTAAGTAATAACTATACTATTTACACTCATATTTCTCATTCAATTTTAGTACACACTACATGTCTACACTATTATCAATATATAAAAACGATTATTTAAATATTCCAGGCGGAACAGGACTCAGCAGTGAGCGACGTGACGCCCCACATCGTGAACATCGGCCGCATGGTCGAGGACATGGAGAACAAGATCAGGAACACGCTCAACGATATCTATTTTGGTAACTAACATCTTGCTAAAACCTTTTATTGTATACTAGCTTTTACCCGCTTCGCTACGTCACAAAAGGAAAAAAGTAGCCTGTGACGTAATAAGATACCAATACACACAGCGCCATATAGATGGCCATATAGAAAGTATTGGTATAGACCAATACTTTTGTTTTCGCTCGGGAATATCAAATATTTCCGGGATAAAAAGTACCCTATTATTTAATCCGGACTTCTAACTTTACGTCTGCAAAATTTCAAAGCAATCGGTTTTGTAGTTACGGCGTAAAGGTGGAACAAACAAACAAACAACCTCACTTTCCGATTTATAATATTAGTAAGGATTTTTTCCCAACATTTGACTGTGACTGAGCAGACAGTGACTGACACAGCTGACTATTTATAATGTGCTGAAAATGCTATCATGAATTAATTAATTGCTCTCGTAATCCCATACTGGCATAAATAATTAAATTTTTGGCATCTGTGGTTGCATTGGTACTCGGTAAGAAAAATAAGAGAAATTAGCTAAATCATTGTGTTACTCTTAAATACAAACTTGACTTGGTAACATTTTGAACTGTTAGCTTCAGTGTGACCGACATACTTAACTTTAGTAAATATTTCGGAATATTGCTCAAATTGTTTTGTTTCATTTTGTGCGAAAATGAATACTGTATGCTAAATTACAAATGTAATGAGCTATGACAAGTTAAGACCAAATGCTCACGCGTTTGTCCCTTCCATACTTGTATATCCTGCATGCTAACCAATCAAATAGTTTTGAATCGTGTGTCATCAACATATTTATTCAGTTTTAACATTGATGATAGCATTTTCGGAGAAGTACTACAAGATAAGAATAATATCCTTATTGTTTATATTTTTGTTTTTATGCATCCTGTAACTTCAATAGACCAGAACAGCAGGCATTTATGGTTTTGACTTTCAAAAGTGCACTAATGATCTGATTACATTTTAATTTCATTGCTTACGTATTGTTGTTTTGTTCACCTCTAGATAAGACCAAGAACATAGTGAACGGTCTCCGGTCAGTGCTGCCAGTTGAGGTGGAGCGACGCAAGGTGGCGCTGCACCACGACTTGGCCCTCGCTCTCCAACGCCGGCACGTGGCACGCGACGACTGAGGGCCCGCCTGCCACTGCGCAACGCCGTGTCTACGTGAGTAATTAAAAGTGAATATTCCCTCTCCCTATCTCAGTCATGAACCCCAGAAGGCCGGTAACGCACTCGGTAACTCCCTTGGTGTTGCGCGTGTCGATGGGTGGCGCCGATGACTTAGTATCAGTTGATCCGTCTGCTCCTTTGTCTATCCTATGAAAACAATATTTACAAGTAAATAATAAGCGACCTCAATATAAAGATTTAGATATCATATTTGACATTATATCTAGCATAACCATAAGGTCTCCTATTTGGACAATACATATATCTGAACTACTTTATAGTAGTTCAGATATATTGGATTGGTTATTACTTTCGGTGAAGAAGTTCCCCAACAAGATAAAGCTAATAAAACAATACCTCCTAAAAATGAAACTCAATATTTCTGTAATATAATAATCGTTTAATGTCAATTATTCTAATTACAATTTATAGAAATAATATTAAGACAATTGTAATATCATTTGAACTAAGCAGAATAGAGTTAAGAATGCAATCAATAATAAAAGTTCTGTATATTTTCTATTAACATAACATGCTTGACTATATGAATTTGTAAATTGAATACTAATTAATTGTTCCTATACAAAGATATTGTTAGAAAATGTATTGGAATTCTATACTAATGTATGATTACACTTGTTTTCAGATGAGGTGGAGATATTGGGTAAATTGTGTTAATTAAGGATCGCTCACGAAGAGAATTGTGAACTTACGAAATTGTGGAAACTTATGAAGGATAATTTAATAAATAAAAAAATATATTTCTCGTCTATAAATAGTGTATTGAATTTAGAAATAAATATCAATGCGGCCAGTATGGTGCTTTGAACAAAATAGTCCTTATATTTATATATTTTTTCTTCATAGAATATTATCGGAATTGTAAGCATGTAAACTATGTAAAAATCTCTTATTATGTGTATAGATTTGGAATTAAATTCGCCCAAATATCATCCATCTCATTTACAGTTGCATTTTCATTGCTTAGTATTTTCTTTTATTGTAGTTTATAAAGAAATGTATTTTAACTTAAGGTCTATGTAAGAGATACAGCGTTCATTATTATAATAATGTTAAGGCAATGCAACAAGCCAATTTTAATGTTGCAGTTTATTTCACATAATAATAACAATAGATTTTAATTGGCCTCTCTAAATATATATTTATCCGCAGTTTTAGTCTTTTATTTTATTTATGATGTACCCAGTCCTCTGCTGTGTTGAACACAAATACAATCTCATAATGATGTTGAATTGTAGATTCACACAGCAAAAACAGCCACAATGGCATAATGACATAACTTAATATTTAAATCGTTTCCTATGTACATTACAATTAATTAATGGCAAGAATAATATACACATCATGTAGATAGAATAAATCAAACTAGATAGAGACAGGACCTCCACTGAGCAGGTCTATATAGGAGGACCCAGTGGTTGCTATCAGGTGCTTAGGATGGCCAGCGTAGGTTTAGTGAGGTAAGAATCTGGTACTGGTACTGGTACGATGTAAGGTACTCCCTCTGTACTCTTTGCTCTGTCTCTCCCCAAAAAGCAAGGCGTCTTTTAAAGGTTTCCCCTGTCATAAAAATGACATTCATTTTTTTATGGAATAGGGGGCAAACGAGCAAATGGATCACCTGATGGTAAGCGATCAGCGCCGCCCATGGACACCCGCAACACCAGAGGAGTCACAGGTGGGTTGCCGGCCTTTTAAAAAGGAATACGCACTTTTCTTGAAGGTTTGAGGTTTCCCCTATCATAAAAATTTATTTATTTATTTTTGAAATTGTACATATATAACACCACAGCTTACGCCATTAAGTTATACTGAAATGACATGCTATTCTTCAGAACAACTAATTCAGAATGTATTTAAGAAATATTTTCTAATAATTCATCGTCATTTTCTTCTTTTTCTAGTGAAAATTGAAAAATTGCTATTTTGTGTAACTTTATTTTATTTGAAACACCTATTCCGCTGAAGTGTTTCTGAACGAATAAATCGACAATTTGACATTTAATTAAACGGCATACAGCCACTACAGCACAGCTGACGGCCGACGGCTGACAATTTAACAGAAATGTCAAATTGAAGTATTGAACATGGAAAGTGCAAAAGACTGTGTAAAGTGTAAATAATAAACTACAAATCGTGTGCGAAGTGTTTATTTATTTGACTCAGAATTACTAAACATAGTTTTCCAGAATGAATTCAGAGCCTGTCGTAATAGAAGATGATGATATTGATAACGTAAGTGGTTCTTCAAAGCTGATCTATAAAAAAATTAATAGATTACAAGTGGTTAGAAGCATTTGTCATTTTATTAAACGGTTGCGAGGAGGCAGCGAAGCGCTGCCTCCTCGCAACCCAGCCATCGCGAAGGACGATCGCGGGACGATCTCCGGCCACCGTAAGCGCGGGCCTGCGGACGGCGAGCATGGGTGGCTCCCCGTCCGACCAGAAACAGACCCGAGCGTGCGGCGCGTTGCGTTCCGCGCGCGCCTTAAAGAGCCATCAGACCACCACAGATGGGGCCCAATAGGGCCGATGCCGATTCGGAGTCGCGGAGAACCTAACGGGTAACCGGGGCTCCGGCTCGACGTGCAGGAGAAGGAACGGGGTGGTTTTTAGTCAGTAAGAGTCTGACACTCCCTTCCGCCTCACCCAGGCGGGACCAGTCATTCGATGATTTTCCCCCCTTAAAAAAAAGCCCCTATTATGGATGTGCCTCATAAATACGACCATCTTATGTTTCACTGTTTACATATTACAAGTCTACTCTACGTCCTTTTACGTTAGGTTTAGTCCTTCTCTGCCCATCTGCACATTTTGGCCTGTAATATACATTATATAGTTTATATAAGGTACTAATACCTCTGTTGTCGAGAAACACAAGAGCTATAGCGATACCTGTGACCAAATTTTTGTATTTTGTACTTATACTTACTTAGTTAATGTTTTTGTTTTATATAGCCATGTGTTTTACCTACAATAGTAACTATGTCTACATCAATAAATTAAATTAGAATGAAAATTGTTGTTGTGTTGTGTTAATCTATGTTTACTTCCTAAAGTTAATCTGTGACTCTAACAATTATAATCACTAATTCCAGGGCACTGTAGTCGTCATTGATGATGATGTAAAAATAATTGAACAGAAACCTGTTTCACCTATCATAATAGATGATGATCCACAAGCAGAATCAAATGAAGTGATATATAATAACAATGCGGGGAGTGAAACTAACATATTATCAAAAACCGATAGCGATGCGGAAAGAACATTTAGAGCCAATCTTCGCAACAACAACTTAATGGACATAATAATACAAACATGCATGAATATGCCAAATGGTGCTGGCATGGAACGAGTGATTAAGAAAACACTTGTACCTTTATACAGAGACTCAAATCCTATCTTAAAACAGTCTAAAACGTTAACTAAACTCTTAAAAAATATGCATAAAATGTTGCTGAAGGATCCCGACCACAAGTTCTTGCATATAAAGACATTGTGTGAGGAGCTAAAGTCTGGGAGAATGAGAAAGAAAGTGCCTTTTGTTACGTTGGCTACTAATTTGAGAGATAATAACAAATTTTTAGACTCGACAGACACTCAGACTGACATGTGGCATAGTGGACCAAGTGAAGGTAAGTAATTGTTTATGTAATTTATCTTATAGAAAGACCAAATTTTGATTCAGTGCTATAATAAATTCAGCACAATTGGCTGCAGTAAACACTTTAACTTTAGTAGTAACTGATTTGGTTGTATGGATGAATTATTAATTTGATTTATAAATTATTTTTTGATTCACACTTTGTTTTTTTTATGTTTATGTGCCATTTCTTTTTTATGGGATAAGTCGATAAACGAGCAGATGAATCATCTAATGGTAAGCATTCGGTGTCGTCGTCCATGGACACCTGGAACATCATAGACAATACAAGTGCGTTATCGGCCTTTTGAGGAATTGAGGATTGTTGGGGATTCAGGAATTGAGGAGATTGGAAAGGGTGTAATTGGGCCTCCAGTTACCTCACTCACACGACGAAACACAATGCAAGCGTTGCTTCACGTCAGTTTTCTGTGAGGCCCAATTCGCTCCAGTTGATTCGGCCCATTCATGTCGAAGCATGGCTCTTCCACACTTAATGTTATTCATATTATTTATAAATTTACAAAATTTTAAGAAACTTTCTTTTGATAACTATTCTCTCATTTACTTTTCAGAAACAAACACATTTAATACTGTAACAGAGGTAGAGGTAGTAGAATGTGAAGATGACATCCAAGAAAATCCCAAACCACAAAAGAGAAAATATAATACAAAAAGTCGAAAAAGAAAACCCAAAAGGCTAACTGCAAAACGACGTAAAAAGATATCTAATACTGATAATACAAAGACTGATGTTATAGAATTAGACAATTCCGATAGTGAAAATGATAACTTGAATACAAGTGTAGAGGCAACTGCCTCCGTAGCAAATGAAGATTGTGAAAGAACATGCCCTAATCCTTCTACTGGAGAAGATTCAAATAAAGAAAATAATGTAAGCTACCAAGAAAACGATAGTAATGAAAATAAGACAGAAAAAGAACATAATGAAAGTGAACTCGAAAAAGAAAGTAATGGGAACAAAATGGAAAAAGAAAATAATCAAAACAAATTAGAACATGAAAACGACAAATTTGTACATAAAATTAACACACTCTTTTACATTCCCTTTATTCCAATAATTCAGGAGCCACAACTTTCTGTAAATAGTACTTCAATACAGAATTCAATTCTTACCTTAAATGCTTTGATTCAGAATCCAGTCCCCAAAGACAAAGAAATATCTAAAACAGTAGCAGTCATTGAATATAATGCATCTCAAACTGAAAACAACCTGCGTTTAGAAGATGACATCGAGGTATTCATACCACAAACGCATATTGAAAATCAGTGTAAAGCATTAGATGATACTCCTAATAGTATTAATATTACAGAAACATGTAGCAATAACGACACTTTAATTAATCAATATAAAGGTAGCACAGAATTTGTAAGGGTTCAAGACATTGTAATTCCTAAAAATCCCATGGAAAATGAACTTGTTCAAGACCTTTTGGCTCCTAAAAACCCCAGGGAAAATGAAACAGAACAGGACCATTTGTTTCCTAAAAACCCCAGGGAAAATGGAACAGAACAGGAACATATGGTTCCTAAACACCCCACTGAAAATGGAATACATGCGAAGTTATTAGTTCCCAGAAACCAAACAGAATTTGTAAGGGTTCAAGACATTTTAATTCCTAAAAATCCCATGGAAAATGAACTTGTTCAAGACCTTTTGGCTCCTAAAAACCCCAGGGAAAATGAAACAGAACAGGACCATTTGTTTCCTAAAAACCCCAGGGAAAATGGAACAGAACAGGAACATATGGTTCCTAAACAGCCCACTGAAAATGGAATACATGCGAAGTTATTAGTTCCCAGAAACCAAACAGAAAAAGAAATAGTTCAGAATCTTTTGGTTCCTAAAAACCCCAACCAAAATGGAATAGATCAGGACCTTTTGGTTCCAAAAAGCCATGTAGAAATGATTGTCTCAGATGATAAGCCGTATGACCCTAAGACTGTAGCTTTTTATGAACGTTGTATTGCGTCATATAAGAAAGAGTTAGCAGAGTTAGAAGAACTAGAAGTGACTACTGATAGTCCAAAATTTTCACCGTATGTCCTGTGTGGCAAGTAAGTTTTTTTCTTTACATCTTAGGATTTTTACTTTGACTGTAACTTATGTTTCTCTGTACCTCCATGTTATGCCACATTTCTATAGGGTGCGAGCCTAATACCATAAAGCCCCAATTTGATGATTGTTGTTAATCGGTACTGAGAATTTTGGAAGCCGAAACCCTTAACAATTAAGTATTTGCTCCTCCCGGAAATTAATCGTTAATTTCGCACTGGTGACCATTCTATTAATGAAGCAATTTTAATTTTAACCGACTTCAAAATTAAGAATGGTCTAAGTATGACCTGTATGTATGCATGTTTGTGCGCAATTATCTTGCGAATGACTGAACTGATTTTATAAAAGTTATTACTTACTAATTGACTAGGCAAACGTCGTACCGCCTCAAATATTTCTGTCTCACATTTTAAACCTTCCCTGGACTTTCACAAATAAATTGAGACTAAATTGAGCCAAATCGGTCCAATTGTTTTTGAATTGTAGTGATATTAGCGAACAGCAAATCATTTAATATCTTCTTCTTTAGCCTTTTTCTACCCTTAGGGTGTAGGCCTCCTTCAGTGTCTGCCATCTCTTTCGGTCTTGAGCAATTTCTATCCATTTTGTGCCAGCTGTTCGCTTGATGTCATCGTACTAACGCATCTGGGGTGTTCCTTGTGGGTGTTTTTCGCCCCACGGTCTCCACTCTATCAAAGCTTCGCACCACGAACCCTGTTTGCGTGCAACGTGACCAGCCCACTCCCAGTTAAGTTTCGCGATATGCTGTGTGACGTCCTTGACTTTACTCTGCTGTGTTAACCACTGGTTTCTTTTGCGGTCTCTCAGCGTAACGCCTACCAGCTCTTTGGGCTACTTGTAGTTTTTGGAGAATGTCCTTTGTAAACACCCAGGTCTCGGCCCCGTATGTGAGCCACCGGTAATATACACTGGTCATATATGCGCGCCTTCTGTTTAGCAGTAATGTTCATACGGAAGGCGAACTCAAGTTTGGAATAGGCCGCCCAGGCCAATCTTATACGCCTATCAATTTCGTTGGCTTGGTTGTCCTTTCCCATTACCACTTCTTGTCCCAGGTACACATATTTAGCCACTCTCTCAATAATGGCGTCATTTACTTTAATGGATGTGGTGGTGTTGGAACAGTTGGTCATGACCTTGGTTTTATCCAGATTCATTTCCAAACCACACCGTGCCGAGGCATTACTAAGTACCTGTATCATGGTTTCAAGGTCAATCGGATTGTCTGCGAACAGTACGATGTCGTCAGCAAGTCTAAGGTTATTCAGTATTTTGCCCTCGATGCTGATGCCGCAATTTCTCCAGTGTAACATTTTAAAGACATCCTCTAGTACCAATGTGAAGAGTTTTGGAGAGAGGGTATCTCCCTGTCTTACTCCTCTGTATCTCCACTAGTTTGGTCTCCGGAGGTAAATTTACCTTTTCATTTAATACATACTAGCTTTTACCCGCGTATACCTGTTTTATCCCATAGGAGCATTTAATCGGGATATATAGTATCTGAACACCTAAGTATGCCCATACCCTGCCGGTATACTAAGTTTCATCAAAATCCTTTCAGTAGTATCAGCATGATTGACGAACAAACATCCAAACAAAGAAACTTTCACATTTTTAATATTAGTGTGGTATTTTACATTTATGGAAATGGAAGTCTAAGTACAACACTCAACAGTATTGATTACAATTTTCAGGCTCAAAGAGAAAATAGTGGATACTTACAAAAAAATATGTGAAATCAAAGGCAGTACTGCGGCAATTGCGAAAAGGTGTGAGATCAGGTTGAATGTGGCTGAAGGCCATCATCCGGGACCAGCTAAACAACTGGAACGGTTTCTTAACAGTACCATCGGTGAAGACGGCTTGGTAAAGTTCCCGGACTTTCAAGATGTGTTACAATGCGTGTATACGTCAAACAGGGAAGAAAATCTAGATTGGAATTCTAACCAAATTTTTAAAGAAGGTTGGTTAGTTATTATGTAATTAATATTCTCCCATCCCATCTGTCTTTTCTGAACTGCATTTATCGTAGAAGTCAACCTTGAGTTTTAACCAGAATTGAATTGACCATGAAACGATTAAGAACTAACTTCTTAGTTAATAACTACTCGTCGAGCGTTTTATGGCTGTTTTTTTTCTGGACATGAAAACAGAAATTAAAAATAAAGATAACATAATTTATTTGCATACACATGTGTCATTCATACAAAAGCATGCAAGATGTTCATTGTTTAAAATCAGTGTCCAATACATGTTTAGTTATTGGGTAGTCAATAGTTTTAGGCAGGTCATTTATGTATAAAATAAATAACAACGGCCCTAGTACACTGCCCTGTGGGACGCCGTATAGAGGAGAGCTAATTCGAAGATTTCATCTTTTTTTGTTTCAATATTAATCCTCGTAATTTCTGTGTATTGTTTTCTATTACTTACATACGATTGAATAAGACTCAAAATGTTTCCGCGTATTCCGTAAGCCTCCAGTTTCTGCAATAGGATTCTGTGATCAACGTAGTCAAAAGCTTGTGTCGTATCACAGAACACAGCTGATACCGGGATTTTCTTGTCAACGCTAACCAATGTTTTACTTAAAAATCATAGATGGCCATATTTATAGTCTTGTTTTCTCTGAACCCTTCTGTTTGTTGCATAGGATTTGTTTTTTTTTCTATACAGGTATAAAGTTCTTTGTATATGTATTTTTCGACTATTTTGGATATGGTAGGATTAAGGGATATTGGTCTTATAGTTCTCACTATCTCTTCTTTGCTATTTTTCTTTTTAACCGACTTAAAAAAAGGAGGAGGTTCTCAATTCGACCGTATATATGTTTTTTTTAATGTTTCTTCGCCGATATCTCCTTTATTTATGCACCGATTTTGATAATTATTTTTTATTGGAAAGGAGATAGTCCCAGAATGGTCCCATGATAAGGAAATCAGGATCTGATGATGGAAGACCAGGGGAACCGAGAGGAACTTTCAAAAGTTATAGAGGCGACTAGTGCACTTGTTAATTTTTTCCATTAAATAATTAAAACCACTACAATCTGATAAAGATCTGGAGTTGATCTGATGATGGAGCCGAGAGCCAGTCGAGGGAACTCCTCAACGGTTAACAATAGCTACCTTGTGTTTGGGTTTGATTAATTTCTATTGATGAGGGCTTTACACCTAGGTAGGGCGTAATTGTCAATAAGGGTCTGATGATGAAGTAGTACGATAGTTGAGGGAACTCCTTAACGGTTAACAGTAGCTATGTTGTGTTTGGGTTTGATAATTTGTATCGATGAGGACTTTATACTTAGATGGGATGTGATTGTCATGAAGGGTCTGATGATGAACTAGTACGACAATTAAGGGAACTCCTCGGCGGTTACCAGTAGCTACCTGGTGCTTGGGTTTGATAATTTGTACTGATGAGGACTTTACACCTAGATGGGGGGGGGGGGGTGATGGTCATTAAAGATCTAATGATGAAGTAGTATGATAGCTAAGGGAACTCCTAAATGTGTTAAGAGTAGCCACCCGGTGCTTGAGCTTGAATAATTTGTATTGATGAAAACTGCATCTATGTGGGTTGTGTATAATATAATATATCAAAGTACTAAACTAAAAAGAATAAAATAAAATTAAAAAACTGCGTTTAAAAATATTCTCGATTCTTGATTGTGTCCGTACTCGACGAAACGTAATATTCTCGTTTAAACTAGGTTTTTCTTTTTTAGTACGACAACACTAAGATTATTGAGTAGGTTGAGAATGTATTTACAGCCCAAAAAAGCACCGTGTAACAGAGTAAAATAGTTTTCGTTCATTCGTCACGTTATTTTTGTTTTTGAAAGTTGTCAGTACTGTCTTGTTTTGTTTAAATACCGTCTATTTTAATTTAAAAACAGTTTATTTGCACTAATTTGTTGTTCCAGCCTCAGCTTTGTTCGTCCAATGCGGGCAAGCGCTACGTAAGCGCCGACAGAAGCGAGAGTACCAGGACCTCATGAGCATCTTGCGGGACAAGGAAATAGAGGACGACGACCCGGCTGAGAAAGACCCACTGTTGCTCGCTAAACTTGAAGAAAATAAACAAATAGCCAAATACAATGAAGATCAGATTCTAAACAGGTGGATATTGTTCGTATTTTTTGTTCAAATTAAGGTTGGTGATAAATGCTATGCAATGAGCCGTTGTTCCATTTTTATTTGTATTGTTGAATTTTTATTCAGGGTGTTTGCATACCCATGCAATTACGATATAAGAGAAACTCTTAACCTATACATCATGCCGCGGAAAACCTAACGGGTTACCGGGGCTCCGGCTCGACGTGCATGAGAAGGAACGGGGTGGTTTTTAGTCAGTAAGAGTCTGACACTTCCTCCCGCCTCACCCAGGCGGGGAAGACATTCGATGATTTTCCCCCTTTAAAAAAATCTATACATTATCATCATTATCATATCTGCTACAGGACGTCCACAGCTGAACATAGGCCTGCCCCAATGACTTCCAGATACATATACATACTAATAAACAATTATGCAGTCGAATTTTTTGGCCGCTCTCTTGTAGGGTTTTAGGTTACTGGAGAAATTGATGACTTTATTAACTCGTCGAGTACCGGTTTTATAGACACAATTAAAGAACAATAGGTCGCGGTCACCGGTGACCGCTTGGTGTTTGACAGTTTAATATGATAGTTTGCATATACGTATCCACTCTCAGCCTAGTATATAGTAGTAGTTAACAATTTATTATCATTTACAGATTTGCAGCAATGGAAAATCTAAGGAACCCCGTCCATGGAGGAAATAGTACGGTAATATTCGAATCTGATAATGATTCTAGCATAGACAGCGCACCTGACGACTGTGAAGACGATATACTTTCAAATCAAAATGAAAGAAACCAAAATAGCACCGTCACTAGCCATGCTAAAGATACACTTGACATAAATTGTAAAAGTCCTAGTTTATTAAAGACTATTTTATTAGGAGACGCTATGGGATGTTACCAAACAAATATTAACAATAGCGTTATGAATGCATCTTCGTGTGAAAACCGTGCCTTATTGAATTATTCATCGCAATCTAGTTCAGTGGACAATATCGCCCAAGATTTAATAATCTTGAGAAAGATCGAATCTTCATCACCAGTATTAGAAAATGTTGGAAACTCATCACCTGATGATAAACACTTGCCACAGAAAACTATTGAAAGCTTAGCTATAAATGTAACAGATAACGAAGTAGTCAGTAAAAATAATTGTGAAGTAGATAACATAGGTCAGGAAAAAATTTGTACAGATAATATCAAAGAAGAAAAAGAAACTATAAAAATTAACTTCAGTGAACCAATAGATAGTATTAGTTTTATGCCAAATTGTAATAATAATTGTAGTACTAATACTGATTTTATGGAATCGAATATTAAAATAGAAACGACTGTAAAACTAGAGCGGTTAGATATTGAAGCAATGTTAAAAGAGCGAGGTGATAACTTTGAATGTACTGTATTTGATATTGAAGATCCTTTCCTAGTCATAGAAATATCTTCCGATGAATATTCAGATGAAGACGACTTATAATTAAAGTTTTTGTTTTTAAAACTAACTTTTATTTGCTTCGAATGCAGCCCCATTTTATTCCGTTCTCCGTAGGTACTCCGAACTCCGTGAGGAGTCCACATACTGTAAAACGGGGTAATAGATACTGGAAAATTGTTCTAATATCTATTCACCCCTCTTGTCTCTACTCATTCCATTTTACCGTACCTACTTCCTTGTTTAACAAGTTAATCGAAATTGTTACCTACTGCGAAGGAAAATGGTAGGTACCTAATATTTGATGCCCCAGTGTTAGGGCTAAGTACAACAGGCATGGGCGGGGGGCCCCCAATGTGTGTAAGCAATAATGTAAAAACTTCTCAATTTGTATTTTACTTCAGTGATCACAAAATTGCATGCGTTTAACGGTTGGCAGAAACCATGGAAAAACTAAAGTAATCATTGTCCGATAATTTGGGCAGAGGGAGTTACCTGAAAAGCTTTTCGATTTTAAGTTAAAACCGGAAAGTTTCCTATAATATAATATTATGTCCCCAAACAAATTTTTATACGGGGCCCCGCCAAAATACCCTACGCCACTAACATAGGTGGTGCTTTATAGCGTTCCTCGATAAATACATTATCCAACACAAAAATAATTATTGAAATCGGACCAGTAGTGGTTCTAGAGATTGGCGCGTTCCAACAAATTCTTCAGCTTTATTTAATGGTATAAGATTAGTAGCTGGGAGCCAGTGGTCCTTCACGTCGAACAACACCACCTTTATCCAGCAATGGGCGTCTACTGACTGATATATGATTATGACGACACCATTAGTAATTTAAGTACGTACCTACCTATTTGTGAAGGACTAAAGGGGGAGACCCTTGTTTGACAAAAGCAATGGGTGTCTTTCGGCTGTTCACATACCTATTTTCGAGTTGTGTTACAATTATCTCCCTGATAATCCTCAAATTCCTAATTTTGAGTGTCGGCGCCGATTACTTACCAGGTGATCCATCTGTTCGTTTACAGTCTGGTTCCATAAAAAACTCCCCTCCCTTATTGCCTAGGTATCCAACGTGTCATAACATAACGCTTTTTTTTATCCCCGAAAGGGTTGGCATAGGTGCACAATACGGCATTTAAATGCCACTGCAATGCAACACCCACTTTTCACTATGTTATGAGTTCCATGTAATAGAAGTTTTTTTTTTAAAAGGGAAAATCATCGAATGACTGCTCCCGCCTAGGGTGAGGCGGGGGAGGGAGTGTCACTCTTACTGACTAAAAACCACCCCGTTCCTTCTCCTGCACGTCGAGCCAGAGCCCCGGTTACCCGTTAGGTTCTCCGCGACTCCGAATCGGCATCGGCCCCATCTGTGGTGGTCTAATGGCTATTTGAGGCGCGCGCAGACCGCGACGCGCCGTAGGTACGCTCGGGTCTGTTTCTGGTCGGACGGTGAGCCACCCATGCTCGCCGTCCGCGCCCGCGCTTACGGTGGCCGGAGATCGTCCCGCGATCGTGGGTGAGCCTATTCCCATATACCGGGCACAATTCCAGACTCCGTGCTGATAATTTTTTAAGAACACGGTAATATTTTGCCTGACCTGGTAGGTACCTAATCAACCCGAGACCCCTTGCTTAATTAAGTCTCATTTGCGACCACTCGGCCATTGAGGCCGTCTATCAAGATAATCTACGTGTCAATACTGCGAAAATAAAGAGTACGAGAACCAGACGACTTCCTGCCCGCCCAAATTGGTACTAAAAACGGGTGTCACTTCGCCAGAATCAAACAAATCTAGGCTCTTATTGTCACAGAACTAAGGTTTCTTAGTCAAAAAATATTAAACAAAATCCTACGTATCCTGAGATAACCCAGGGCTCGAACCCAAGTCACCCAAGATAATGTTAGGCAATAGCACTTATACATATTAGTTAAACGAACAGAGTGCCAAGCACGAATAACTATCGCATTCGTAACGTAATAGTATCGAGCGGGTCCGGCGCTCTGATTGGTCGGCTCAAGTGAACCAACCAATCAGAACGCTTAACTCGCTCGATACCGTAAAATGGGGTGAATAGGGACAAATCTGAACTTTATAAAGAAAGTTAAGGCGTTTTTTTATAGAAAATTTGCTGTAAGGCGATTGTAATAATTGAGTCGTGATGGTATCTTTGTGATCAAACATAAATTATGCAATTAGCATTTCAGTTTATGCATAAAAAAGCTAAAATATAGCCTATCCCTATTCACCCAGAAATTGGGGTCAATCGGGACGAAAATAAGGCCAATAGGGAAATTCTCTAGGGCTGCCACTTGTGTAGGTACCTACCTAATAAATTATAATTTCTAGCTAACTACCATTTATTTTGTATTTTAATTTATTCTACATTATTACTTATTGCCCCTATGTAATCTATACATATATAATTCAAAGGTGATTGACTGACTGACTGACATAGTGATCTATCAACGCACAGCCCAAACCGCTGAACAGATTGGACTAAAATTTGGCATACAGATAGATGTTATGACGTAGGCATCCGCTAAGAAAGGATTTTGATAATTTCTACCCCCAAGGGGGTAAAAAAGGGGATGAAAGTTTGTATGAAACTTTGTCAGTTTTTAACTGATCGGGTTGAAATTTGGCATGCAGATAGATGTTACGACGTAAGCACCCGCTGTGAAAGGATTTTGAAAATTTCTACCCCCAAGAGGGTAAAATAAGGGATGAAAGTTTGTATGAGACTTTGTCAGTTTTAAACCGATGGGGTTGAAATTTGGCATACAGATAGATGTTATGACGTAGGTATCCGCTAAGAAAGGATTTTGATAATTTCTACCCCCAAGGGGGTAAAATAGGGGATGAAAGTTTGTATGAGACTTTGTCAGTTTTAAACCGATTGGGTTGAAATTTGGCATGCAGATAGATGTTATGACGTAAGCATCCGCTTTGAAAGGATTTTGATAATTTCCACCCCCAAGGGGGTAAAATAGGGGGTGAAAGTTCATATGAATCTTTGTCAGTTTTACACCGATGGAGATGAAATTCGGCATGCAGGTAGATGTTATGACGTAGGCATCCCCAAATAAGGATTTTGATCATTTCCACCTCCTATGGGGTAATGTAGGGGATGAACGTGTGTATGAAGCTTTGTCAGTTTTACACCGATCGGGTTGAAATTCGGCGTGCAGATAGATATTATGACGTAAACGTCCCTTTAGAAAGGTTTTTGAACATTCTCACCCCAAAGTGGGTAAAATAGGGGGTGAAAGTTTGTATGATACTTTGCCAGTTTTAAACTGAACTGAGACTTTGCATGCATAAAGTTACTATGACATAGGTATCTCCTTAGAAAGGATTTTGATAAATTCCACCCCTAAGGGGATAAAATAGGGAATGAGAGTTTGTATAAATCTTCTTAGCCATTAAATTTAGAATCATTGAATCTTTTTGAATTACATTCGGTAAAACGATGATTTGGGACCTGGGTAACGTTTGATAGTTTTTATCACAGATGTCCCACGGGAACGGGAACTATGCGTCAATGCCCCAGGACTCTCTAACTCTTAACCACTGAACTTATTTCAGAGAGATTCGGTACAACAATAGTCGATAGAATAGTTTTTATTACTCAAACCTTATGTGATCGGGCACTGTACTGGTAAGATACCTGCGGGATTATTTATTTATTGAAACTACGATAAATCATTTCAAAATAGGTAAATCTTACTTGGGCACTGAATTGATTCTTATTAATTCTGTCAGAAGTCATTAATCTACGCGGACGAAGTCGCGGGCAACAGCTAGTTCTTACATAATACTAGTTTCTGATTATTTTATAGCTATTTAGTCACTGAAATAAAATCCACTTTTACTTCCATTATTTATTTAATCAACAAACCTTTTGCAAATTATTCATTAATGAACATGGTATACACGCGAGGCATATCTGATAAAATAAATTTGCATTATTGTATATAAAAATTTCTACTCAATATATCAACACTAAAATAAACTTTCGGCTCCGCCCAGAGCAGGAGGTGTCATATAATAATTTCCCATCTCAAAAAAAAATAATGTACCTACGTATTAAATGTGACACCCAGTGTTCGTCAGTAATGTTGTCAGCCCAAGAAATAGGGGACAAGCCTACTAAGATACACCGGACACAATTTCGGTCTCCGTAAAATATTTTAAAATTCCAACAAAAATTGGGTCGACTCGGGAACCGATCCTGAGACTTCATGGTCAGCAGTTGCACTTGCAATAACTAGATTAACGACGCAGTGTAATACCTCGCTAATTTATGAAATAAAAGTGCTCAGTGACAACCCTATAAAGCTGTACCTATTCATACATAAGTCGTTCCTATTCATCCCATCCTCATCCCGATTAACCCCCCTTTCGTTGTGATTCATACCTGAGACGTCCCCATTCACCCCAAAAAATACAAATTTCGCATGCCATTCTAAAAATCTAAATTATAGTCATATTAATTAATAACTGATGCTTAACTTTCGTGGATATGACGGCCCAAACCCTAAATAAAGTATAAAACTAACACTCGTATTCGCTTAATACAAAATAACCTTTACACAGCTAAGTTTTATACACTGTAATAACCGGTATCTTGTCTATACTATTTTTAATTGAAATTTTTGATAGTTTGCAGCTGATTTTACACTTGTTCAATGTTGCCATAGAAAAGTTCCAATAATCTACTATTATCCCTCAAAAAATGGTAAAAGTTGGAACGATTTGCAAACTAGCATTTAGAGTTAAAAATGATGCCTGGTTTTTTCCCTATTCACCCCTGGATCCCTATTCACCCCATTTTACGGTACTGTTACGATACGAATGCGATAGTTATTCGTGCTTGGACCTCAGAGGGTTTACTAGTTTCGAAACGAGACCGCGTACTCGTTTCAATTACATTAATTAATAGAAAATAACTTAATACTTACTCCAAGTAACAGCAAACAGCAGCTTTCGGTACAATATGTTGGTGTTGCAGGTACTTCTAGGTCACTATCAGTAGATAACCTACCACTCACAGGTAGTCATCTATTATTGTAAATTACTTGTGTATTCAAACGTCTAAATAAATTCATTTGAGCAAGAGAAATAGTGCTCAATTGGTAACTTAAGTCGTTAACTTTTTTTTACCTAAGTGAATTACCTTTTCTAGTTTCAGTAACATTGTAGTTCATGAAATATGACAAATGTTTTCCTAAGGCACCTAATACAGTGCATTACAAATAATTTACTTCATTATCCCAGGTGGATATCATTTGCGTTCAGTAAGCTAAAGGTATATTGTATATGCATCTGGCATCAGTGGCACAGTTCCAGTTCCTCTTTTCCATAAATGAATAATGTCCAAATAAAGTTTTGTCATCTTTGAGACGAATTTCAGTTATTTCGCTTACTACTATTTACGCCTCCGTTTCTATTTCGATGTTTACTACTAACTAAATAATAATGGCCCATAAGACTTAACACTAAAAAAGTTAAAATAAAAAGGGGTGTAAAATAAAAGTAAAAAAAAATCTAAACAAAAATCTACAAGGGAGCAATCACAAGTCACGGTATTTCATTTTGTACAGATTTAATTCGACAGACTGTTAAATAGGTACTTATTACTGCTTTACATTATTTATTGGCCGTTGCTATTAAATTCGGTACTGCTTCAACGTACAACATGACATGGAGAACTGCATCAAGAGTGGGTTATGAGATATTTGTAACTAGGGTTAATTATCCATCGATCTATCCAATCTTACGTATATACAGAACTTTAGTACTAAATACCGTCACATTAGTTATTCAACCTGTCCTACGCCCCGATATAAAAAATAATTTTAAGTTTCCTAAATTAAAATCCGCAGATTTATTGGATCATTACAATTTAAAACCATCTCTTCTTCACAAGGTCTTATGATAACGACCTAGCAGTCGACCGTCTCTTACAGCGCAATAATGAAATTTGACACACAAGCTATACACAGGAGCGGCACGGAGTCACTCGTACAGAAAGCTTACAACATAATGGCCGGGTCCAGTGGTATAGCTCGCTTCACAGAATCTACAGAATACTGCTCTAATGTAAGCAACAGACCATGTGTGCAAGAGAATCAATTCCTAATAATAACTTATAGGTGCACCAATTAATTAATTCTATACGGCTATGAATAAATTCACATTTAATCCGCAAACGCTATTCTAAGCCTCGGATATTACAAGATATATCCAACAAGGAAGGAATACATCGATTCAAGGTTCCATTGGGATACAACAGCTTATCTTTACAGAAAGAAAAGTTACCTTTTAGCTAAAGTATTTTATATTACACCTCCCGATGTCTTTACATATATACTTTAGGTCTTTTATAAAATAAAAACCTGATTACAAGCTGCTTAGTATAAAAACTTTACCAACAATAACGATTATGCAATTTCGAAAAAAAAATGTACAGAGAACAAAACTGTTGTCTAGAAACAGCCTAAAGTTTTAAGTGTACAACCTGCGATGTACGAATTTTGAATGCATAAAAAAATATCTCTCCTATAGGGCCTTACCTTACATTCTTACATTAATTTTCGTATATCATATCGTCTTTGACAATCTGATGTTAAAAGAATATTGATAAGTCCACTAACATACAAATGAATGGTACCCTATCTAGCCCTTGAAGGCAACACTTGCTAGAGAGTGGCCGTCGCAAAACACTACATTTAAAACATGGAATTTAGGCAATCGTAAGCCACTCGATAATGTGTAACATCTCATGTGTTCAAATGAGCAAACAAAGAGAGCAAGGAAAGGCCGAGTGAGCATAAATTTACATTAAAAAATCAACTATTTCTTCTACACAAATGCATCGTCAGTCTTGCCTGAAGATAGTCGTAATCAGGAGACATTCTCAATTCAGTCTTCAATGATTTAGCACGTCACGGTTAAACGAGAGGAGCAGAACACTGCACGCCATGGAATGCACACCACAGGCGCCTGTGGGATGTATTTGAACAGATGGCAAGTGTTACACATGAAGGGGGCGCCACGTACGCGGCGTCACGGCACGATGTGCCAGTAGAGGACTAATCAATCACACACCACATTCAAGAATTTTCTTTATTTCTATTTTTTTGCGCATTTTCTCGATTTTTTATGTATTCATTAATTTAGCATTAAAATATGGTAATAACTTCAAGTTTGCGTCCATCTCTTTTTCGGGTTTCCAATAAAACTTAATATCCACCACGGGAAATTTCATTACACCGATGTCGATCGACAAACCTTCGGCGGCACGCGGAGCGCAACGTAACTTTAACGTTTAGTAGACGTTGTAAGCGAAAAGAGAACAAACAAAACAAAAACAAACGTGAAGTTCCGGCCGGTCGCACGCGGCCGCCTGCCAGCGTCGCACTCCACTCGAGGGCACATTACACTTAAGTATAAATAAATTAATGTTTGCTGTCCCACGCACCGACTATTTCATTACATATTGTCTCCATGTGCAAGACTCGTGCGTTCGTGCAATGTTGTTCGGCAACAACTCGCTGTAATGAAAACCACGGCGCCGACACACACGCCCACAGCGCTGAGACACGCATGGGACGCGGCGAAGTTTTCACTGCAGCGACTAGAGGACAATTGACACACATCTCTAGAATGTTACCCTCGCAACAGTGGGACCGCATCATTGGTACGGCGAGCACAGCTCGCAGACCAATGCCATCGACACGAGGTGCCCCCGGGGGTGGAGTGGACGGCGACAAGCCAGCACCGCGTCACACCATAATATTTTATGTTAAATTATACATAGTATTATGTTTTACATTTATGTAAGAGCTGTTGATTGTAAAAAAATTATATGTATGTATATCCCTATAAATGCTGAGTTGGTTTATTTGTCGAGAGCTGTGTTTGCCTTGACTGCGATTACACACTCCTCACCGCAAGACTTCAGCACAGTGCACTGAAACAACACAATCGGAACATGTTAATCATACAGGAGACTATGTATCACAATATGAGGACAACATTAATTACGTAGACACGCAAACTGCATTTTTAATTACTATTATTTTGCATTAATCAATAGTAATAAACGAATAGACACGAAAAATTCCGCCTTCTACACCAACGAACATTATTTAAAACAAATCGTAGACGCCATTGAGCCGAATAGTATTGCACTGCAATACATTCATGATTACGTGATGACCTCACACGGTTCGATAACCACTATCTTTAGATAACTTTTACTTTAATTTACATAATACCTGAAAAGCCGTCAAGACTAATCCTAAAGTGTCCTTACTACAACCTTGACTTCTGAATATCAAACACATTTATGAAGTAATTGGTTTTTAAAGACGACCATTATAAAATTGAATCATTACACAAAGAAAACACAATTTTATCAGACTAAAAATAGATTGATGATAAAATATCGTAAAGAAACTAATAAAATATGAATAAAAAACTGTAAACAGAATTCAACCTTATAAGCCTTATTGATTCTTTGTAACGATAACTGTGTAAAGAACTAGTCTAAGACTTAAACACTTTAGTATTCAAAATGGCCTGAATAATTGATCCCTGATCGATATCGCGAGAGACGTGAAAAATGTAAATGGTGTTTTTAAAAGGAACTACTAACTAGCGATGCATTCAGCATTACGTTTAAAATATTCAAAGCGGAAAACATGCACTTTGAAGCATAAGTACTGTTTAGGTACATCCAGTCAATATTTTATTTATTTAATATTATGTAAAGTTTTATAAGTTGTCTAATCGATGTGAATTGTAGTTGCCGTTTATACTATTAAAGTTAATTAAAAGTTTTATTTTGAAGTACATAAGTCGACAAAGGAATGAATTCTACTAATGTATTTCTTTCTAAATGACAACCCTTCAGATCATCGTGCTCGAGTTAAAAAAGTTGGCAACTGTCCAACCACGTTGTAAACACGTGGCGTTAAGATAAAAATCAAAACAGTATCTTTTAAAATGTGTCCTTAAAATTTTTGAATCAGTTTCGCTGAGAGAAACTGACAACCATTTACTTTAGTACTCCTAGAAAACTATGTTTATGATTTTCATATTAGTATGTACTCAAAACCCACTGTCCATATGGCTTGCAATGAATACTAGCCCAGGTTATGGGGCGGAGAATTAATATTCGAGTGGATTTAGCACCAACAAGTTATAGAAACAAGTCAGAGACTCTATACTCGACAATCAAATTATCCAGGAGTCACTTATTACGCAGGTAAGAAAACGATTTTTTTTCAATACAGGCACAGAAATCATTGGTTGACTACACTGAGCCGCTCAATGGTAAGTCCAACAATAGCAATCTTCTATTTTTTACCTGCGTACCAAATAATTGGGCTGGTTGTATGTAGCTACATTTCTTCTTACATTCTTGAGGATAGTTAGTTTTTTCTACATGCCTCAATGCTGTTTAGGTAAACCAACTGATACGCTTTACGTTGTTTAAAAACGTAGATATTAAACTTCTAAAGCATCAGCTGATAGCATAAATCAATTCTCGAAGTTTACGTTACGTATCTGTTACGTCTTAAAACAATAAACGACGTCTAAACATTGATGGACCTACGTAACAATATTATGATCTCAGAAATGTTCATATTTGTGTATTTACTAATCAGTTCACGCCACGTGGTTGCATTGTTCCGAGTTAATAACAGACGTCACGACTCTTCTGTGAAGAGTACTGAGTAACGCGTCTTTCAATCTACACTAACATCTTTCGTCACCTTGATTCTGCGATTTCTGACCCGCCTGCCCAGTGTGGAACTGTGGGGATTATGACAATCCCCAAGACCATTATTAGATGGGGTGTAAAACACGCAAATGTCACGGGTTGCTGATTTAATGCGATATTATTTGTTTATTACTTACAAAAAAGGCATATCATTGAATGTAAGGAAAAAGGATATTTCATTAGAAGTATTATGTGGTCACATTATAGGATTTTCCGCATTAATCAAAATTCCTTATCTATTCGATAGAGTGATACTAATCCGGATTAAGACTAACGTATATCGGTCATGAACTAGTAGCGCCACGTTCTGCTGTATTGTAAATGAAGTAAAACTTCATATAAAATGAAAATATGGGCTGTATCTGTGTATATTTCATACAAGTAACCGTGGCGAGTCTCACGTTGTTTGTCCTACAAAAGGTTCAATGTTTACTTGTAATAATATTTATTCTTATTAAATCAGAAAATAAGCTTTCTTTTCTGCAAGAAATGAGGCTAATTGAAATGAACTGGAAAAGCGAAAACACAAAGAAACGAAAGGTCAAGTAGGTGAAGTATCAGATATCAGACCACTTCACAAGGCGGCGAAAATGTTTCAAGATGGTTATGGAAATTGGAATTTTTCTTATACACATTTTTTAATTAGCGATACTTAAAATATCGTCTGCGAAGGTCGTCTACGTCAATATAATAAGGAAAACAGGGCGTTGAATCGATACCGTCCTTAGATTCAATTTCGTTTTATTCGATTTTGATTCATAATGAAATTAAAAGATACAGTTTGCGTGTGAATTGACAAAAAGAAACCATGTATCAGTTATCAAAAAACTCGTACTCAACAGATATAAATTTCTCTCAACTTTCACTCATCTCCTTAAAAGTCACTTGCACCTTTCAACATATTTATGAATGCAGATTTACTCACCAACAGCTCTTTGCCGCTATCGAAGTCAGAACGCAACTGGGTGCCGAGGTCACCGTCTGGGATCTTGAGGTCCTCGCGGAGATCGCCGTTGTCAGCCATGAGGGTAAGATAGCCGTCGTCAGAGATATCGGTGAGCTGGTAGTCCTCACGCTTCACGTGGGGCACGTCCATGTTGTGGGTGGAAGGGCAGATATCTTCGTATCTGATGAAGGAAAAGAGGTATATGAAATAGGTGATTTAAGTCTGCTTGTGATGAAAATCATGTAGAAAGAACAAAATCTCATAAATAGCATCTTTTTTTGCTGTATTCTCAGTCTTCTGTAAGATTAATCTTCTAACAAAAATGTGTTTATGTGTGTATGATCTAAGATTTTTGTACGTAATCTCTATATCAACAGAACAGCTCATAAATCTTGGTGGAAACTATGATTCAGCTTATTTGAGTTTGTTCAAGAGATAAATTGAACTGAATTTTACACGTTATATCAAGTACTCAAAAGTAGGTATTTTACCGTACCCGATAGTTTTAGTCCAAGAAAGTCATAATTTATTCCTTATATGGGCTGAATGTTGGCTGTTCACAAGGTGTGACACGAAATAAATGACATGTGATTAACTCGCAAAAATATTTTGCACCCGACTCCAGGGTAAAAGCCGTACGAACTTCCATTTATCAGTAAAAAAAAATAACAAAGAGAAATACTTAATACGAAATGTCATGTATTTATTTATAGGTCAGGTCAACAGATAGGTATAGGTTGTGAAATATTAATAACTATTGAGAGACTGAGACTACGCTAGGGTTAAAATCAATACCTACTGCTAGACAAAAATAATTTTGTTAGGAAAAGGTAAAATAACTTCGTATACAGATTGATACGATATTATTGCGTTGATTTTCCCGGAAGGAGTGGGCGGGCTAATACTAAATATACTAATTAACGTACAGTATACATTTATAGTAGTTATCACTGCAAAGTTTAATGAGACAAAGTGAGATAAATCTAGTTTTTTTTACATCCTGTGCATATACCATGACAATTGCAATCTATTTCTAAAACAAACTAGTTGATTTTATTGAAATTTAAATCATTACTATAAGGTAACCATTTTCCTTGATGTTCTTAAGAATACAAAAATAAGGAGAATTCAGTAAACATCTTCAAAAAATAGAAAGTCTAGTCGTATTGGTACACGTGGACGTTATTCAGTCATGTGACCAGACGAACCACGTGTTGATAAATTTGTCTTTTCTATAGATAAGCTGTAAGTACAAGCAATTAAAGCAATTTGAACTTGATCTTGTACATAGCAACGTTGCTAAGAGCTATTTTCGCGATTAATAAGTAACTCGATATAAAATATATCGTACCTACGTTCGTGACGTTACAGAAAAATACGCCAAAGGTGGAACATTGGAACAATAACTCATTTACTTAATTAATTCTGCATGAAATTGTGTCAGCGGATTACCATGGAATGGAAATAACGTGTTTTGGTAAATTTGTGGCCCTGGACGGTGATCCCAGAGCACAGTTGTGAAATGAGACGCATAGTCGGGCCTGGTCTTCAATGTCCGAGTAACCTCAGCACGAACTCGATATGGAACCGAGTTCGCGACTCTATGGGCTCGGCATGGCATGCGGTTTTGACAATTTATCACTAAGCGCGATGATAAGACATTGTCCACTGATAGTGGTTACTGGTCAAGTGTAACATGATAATGCTAAGATAATTTAAATGTATTATTTATTAGGTACTTCAGAATTGAACACTACTATTTATGTAAATCCATAAGTTGTATTTGAAATAGGTATGCTTTGACTGAAGTATCGCAAAATTGTCATTAGTAGATAGTGAAATCAATTAGTTTTCTTTAGTCAGCACAAAGAAAGTACCTAACTGCTATTTCAGTTTCAATATTTTTTGTTCTCTTGTTATGCCAAATATGATGGATTCATCGGAGCGTTTACTGTTTTGTCGCTGAAAATAGATCACTTATTGCTGCACTGCATAATGCACACGAAGGATAAGTTCCTATCGCGTTTAAATGAGAAATTACATTTAATGGGTTTGTCCTTCGCCGATCGGGCACGGACAATAGTGTCCCATCCGACATGACTATTGTACTGGAATACATGTGCCTACATAACAAGGATACAAATTAAGCGATACTCACTTCTTGCCGTTAAAAATATCGATTCCAACCAAGTGAACTTTAGCGTGGCCGTGCTTTCCGGTTTTAGAAGTGGACATCTCGACGATTTTGCAGGGGCGACCCTTGAGCATGACGAAACCGTTCTTGCGCAGGGCCGAGCATTGCATGGGGAAGGTGGCGGAGGCACCGGAGTCCCCGGTCTCGAAATGTGTATCTTCGATGTCAGCCATTGTGTTGTGTGCCGAGTTTTAGATACGGTCAGGAGTGATCTGGTAAAAAAACAAGGCAATTATTAGTCTTACTTGCCTAACACAATCGTTGGTAAATACCAACTCTAGATAAAAACAATTTTGATTTATCTCCATCAACTCACTATATAATCACGACAACAATACTAAGTCACCATCTAAGACAACACTTATTCTAATGTGAAAATTCGATCAATAGTATAATCTAAATTGAGATGTGGCACTGAACTTGGCCATTCATAACTGCTCTCATCCATTGACAGTTAATATAGAAGCTATGCTAACCAATGAAGCCTTGGCATTAGGTCTCCAGCATGACTCATGAGTGATGAAAAAATTAGCACATGGGTTGTTGACCTGCAAGTCAATGAACTTTTAGAGATGTTAAAAGTGAAAACCTCTATAGAAAAAGCTGCAGAAAACAGTAAAAACAGCAAAAAGTAAAGAGACAGTTTCTAATAACAGCTGCTTTGTGCTAATTTTGTATTAATTATGCAGAAAAACAAGCGAAACAGCCAATCTAATCTTGTGTTTCACCTTGTATGTTAGTCATCAGAATATAGACTTGTGGCCCTGTACGGTGATCCCAGAGCACAGTTGTGAAATGAGACGCATAGTCGGGCCTGGTCTTCAATGTCCGAGTACCCTCAGCACGAACATGGCATACAACCAAGTTCGCGACTCTATGGGCTCGAGTGATGACAAGTACAATGATCTGACGCCTACCCAATATCAAAGCTACAATTAAGAAAACAATGGAACCAAATTCCTTATGATGTCAATGATTACTCAGATGTTTGGCTTCAAGTAGGTATAAAGTTATTTCATTTTTGTAATACCAACTGAAAATGTAATAAACAAGTGAAATATTGACTACATTAAAGAATGAAAAAAGTTAAATAAGCAGTTTTATTTGCAATAATACCTATTTATATTGAAACCATAGACTACAGAATGATTTATTTTGTGCCACTGTGCCTTATAAGATTCCTATCCTATGGCTTTCTGAATATTTTAAATGAATTAAAAATGTTAGTAAAATAATTGATATTGTAGATAACAATTTGCACATAAATATTCATGTTATTCAATTCTTTAGCAGAGTGGCTTAACTGAAATTGTCATTCAAAGTTAATGATGACATCAACATAGTCGTCACATTTCTTAGCGATACTGCTTCAAAGTAAGAAATTGGAGAAATATTTCGTTTGTAGGTCCATCTCTTATATCAAGTAAGAACCTGAAATACTGAATAGTTCTTATATGCTTTACTCATATCTAATGAGTTGCTCTAAATAGCCTAATCTGGAAGTCACTGGTGGCATCCAGTGACATAGTGAACATGACTGAACAAAGCCAGACCTCGCTTAACCTACACTAAGATAAACTTCATTTGAATTACAAACACGAAGAGTTGATGTAAGAAAATACAATGAATGATATCATATGAATAAATTGTATAATGTGTTTATCACACTGAAACAAAGTAACAAGTATTAATTAGTATTTTGCTGGCAAATGAGTAAATCATTGACACTCAGTGCTAGCCAAAGATAAAGAGAGTACTTCCATGTGAAGATAGATAATTCTATTCAACTCACACTCAGCACCCAACCAACTGAAGGAAAAATTAGAAAGTGCCAATTACATTGAAGAGTATGACCTAATCCAATTTTGAGCAAGTTTGCAACTGCAGCTCCTGTACAAAATCTGTCAAGTCATACATAGACACAGCTATAAATATAACCTATACACAACACACCATACTATAGGGTGGAAACAGTCTAGACAGGTATAGGTATGTTTTTGAAAATTTTGACACGACCTAACCCCACCTACAGTGGTGCGACGAAAAACCTTTGTGGGAGGATCTGCAGACACACACCTTATGGTGACGAAATATAACGATAACACAAAGATATGACGGAAAAACAAAAGTTACTGAATGAAATCCACACTGACGCACGATGGTGGTGACGACACGCAGTGGATAATGTGGTGCCCGAACATGTGGTTCACAAGAGACATCTTGACCATGTCTTAGTCAGAACCAACACAAGAAAATATTACAAAAAACCACAAACCGTTTAATCACCTCTACACAAAATTAAACACGTAGGAACGCAATAGAGTGTGAACTTGATCTTTATTGCGAATCCTGAGATAACGAAAAAAAAATAGCGATTTGACAAACGTGCCGGTGCCGCGGCACATTACTTTTTCATAAATTACACAAGATCCACATCGCGATATTACCGTATATGCACAAATTTATATTCACCATAGAAAATACTTACGAAAACAATAATTACAACTATTTATAAAGGATTCACGATAAAACTAAGATATTTATCGACACTCACATGTGACCGACGGGTTCTTCAACCGAAAGGTCAATTTGCGCCTGCGTAGCACCTATAACACTCACTTCCTGTCGCGGGGTTCACAAAATGGCCGAAACGCCGCCGTAAATTGGCGGTAAGTATAAACATGCTAATATTTGCATCGTAAATAAGCAAAAACATAAATTTATTACTTTTAAATCTACAGTTATATGCCTTAAAAAATATTTTCGTTTATTTTAAGTTACAGTTTGGTCATATATTATAGAATTCATAATAAAAGATAGTAAACGTTGAAACTGTTTTACTGCATCCACCACGTAGTCACGCTATTTGCCCAACAGGTGTCGCTAATCATTACAGCTTTGCTACAGATTATAAATATATTTTATTGACCGGTGAATGGATAATGGTATCCCCTTTTTATTTCTATTACATATTTACAGATTTTAATGCTAGAGACCTACCTAGAGAAGCTGATTGATACTTGTAACGCTGCAAAATATCTTGTTTAATTTGCTAGTATTTTGTAGGTAATGAAACATGGTGAGAAATGCGTACAGATAATATATCCATATATACCATGTTATTACAAATAATTTTCTAAACATGTTTCTTATTTTACAATTTTCACAAAATTACGCATTGGTTTATTTTGTTATACATTTTGAGTGTCTAACTTCTTTCAAGTTCTTTCGTTAACTACAAGACTTCGTGATAGACATGTACCAGTTTGTCTGCTCTTTGTCATGCAGAAAGATGCCGAAAGATGGCGCTACAATGGTTATTGCGAATTTACGAATTAACATCTCGTTATAATGTTAATTAATTCTGCTGCTTCGTTGGCCGACTGGTCGTAAGTGCGACTGCCGGGCAAGGGGTCTCGGGTTCCATTCCCGTGTCGGGCAAAGTAGTACTGGGTTTTAAAAAAAATCTCAGTGGTAACACGGAGCCTGGAATTGTGCCCGGTATATGGCAATAGGCTCACGTAATAACTCATGTAATAACTCCTGTAATAACTGACTGATAACATAAATAGTGAAAAGCGGGTGTTACATTGTACGGTGGCATTAGGTGCTGTAATGTGTACCTCTGCCTACCCCTTCGGAAATGAAAGGCGTGATGATATGTTATGTTATTTATATTTAACATTGATACATCCATTCAATATTTAATTGAAATATAATGTGATAAATATAGTATATAGGTAGGGAAGCTTACCGGTCAAGGTACTACCAAGGTTTTTTAGCGTATTCAGTAACTGTAATGTAAATTGACTGTAAATAACTAGGTTATCAGTACCTATGCATCACTTTACAATCAGGTTTGAGTTTTTTTTTACAATTTATGACTTTACTTACATGGGGCGTAACAAGAAAAGACTGATAATAAATAAATGATAGATGTATAATAAATATTGGAAATGAACTAAGACAGGTAATTATTGATCGAGAGGTAATTATGATTTTTATGCAAAATTATTATAAAACTTAAAATTGGCTTAATTGAAGAAATTTCGTAATTTTTATAAGAGAAAAGCAAGAGAAGCACCAAGTCTAGTTAGTTGGGATACAGATAGAGTGCCTACTTCTTCTGGGTCGATTCACACAGCGCGGCACACATTGGCGGACTTTGAGGCGTTTGGCGTCTGGTATGGGAAGAGCCGCATCGTGCATCAGAGGCTGGAAGTGATATGATGCTGCACAAAGTTGTTCAATAGTCGAATGGCATTGCAGAGTCGTGGAATGTAGTAGAATCCTTCTGTAAACAGGTTATATGGCTGCGGAATGTGAAAGGGAGATCTCATAACTGCTATTACTCTCTTGCAACAGTCGTAATGTGTATAACAAGTGAATTTATTTCTGCAAATAGGCTACAAGGCAGCACTTTTACTCGTCAATTTTATCAAGTGAACAATGAGGCCGACATTTCCTAACTGACTACTCTAAGAAGAAATGCCGAAACAAATTCAAAGGTCAAACAGAGAGGTGTGTAGGAGTGTAGGAGGAGCGCAAAAGTTGACCCAAAACGGAGCCAGCATTGGTGGAATTCCTTGTCACCTCGCGTAACAGGAGTCGATAGGTGCTCGTTGTGGAAGCAACCTTGGTGGCACACATGGAAACGTGTGCCACTGAGGACAAGGAGATCTACAGGCGACATCTCACTCCTTTGTGCAACTTGGTGAATAAGTTACCAAAGGGCCGAACGTGTGCGTCCGGGGTTGCGGGGGCATGTGGTTCCCGTTTCATCGATGGTTTTAAGCCAGTAAACAGTTTAATAGTCCCCTTCATTTTTTACCAGATGCTAGATGCTTATGAAACCTTTTTTTAAGGGGGGAAAATCATCGAATGACTGCTCCCGCCTGGGTGAGGCGGGTGGGAGTGTCAGACTCTTACTGACTAAAAACCAACCCGTTCCTTCTCCGGCACGTCGAGCTGGAGCCCCGGGTACCCGTTAGGTTCTCCGCGATTAGACTAAAAAGGTAGAGTGGTAGAGTAGAGTAGACAAATTTTAGCATCAATTCAAATGTTATTTTTAGAAATATATAAGGTAATTAATAAAATGAAATTAAAATTAATGATAACTATTATTATGTAAATATTTAAAATATCTTATACTTACTATTATATAAAGCTGAAGAGTTTTTTGTTTGTCTGTTTGTTTGTTTGAACGCGTTAATCTCAGGAACTACTGGTTCGATTTGGAAAATTCTTTTGGTGTTCGATAGTCCATTTATCGAGGAAAGCTATAGGCTATAAAACATCACGCTACGATCAATAGGAGCCAACCATAGCATAGCGGGTGCAACCGCGCGGAAGTAGCTAGTGTTTAAATAAATATGATTAGCGTACACTACAGTAAGGCCCACATCCTTCTAGGTCCGTCTCCCTTCTCCATGAAATACCTTACAATGGGCTAAAATTTACCGAAGGTCACTCAGATATATAAATTATCTTAAAACAGCAATAAATAGGCATCTATAAATTATTAGTTAATATATCATTTAAAAAAATATGACTTTGTTTCTATAACTTTATAAAAATATTGCAGATGTTTGTTAATTATAGAAGTATATTTTAATTTGCAATTTTTCATTTATCAATGTAAATTTTAATAAATTTTTAAATTCATTAAAAAAAATCAGTTTTTTGCATTTTGTAAGAAAAATTTTTATACCACCTAATGTATCTTTTTTTACAACATCAGAAAGTAGAGATTTCAACGAATTCCCGATTCCCGATCACGAATAGACCGTAATTTATTTTTTTCTTTCATTTTATCATATTCTCCTCCTTTTCTAATGGGTTTCTTCCTACTGTATTTATTTTTGGTTTCAAAAATTATCAACCCTAGTTTGCTAGTCGAGATACGGAGCCGCGGAGAACCTAACGGGTTACCGGGGCTCCGTCTCGAAGTGCAGGAGTAGGAACGGGGTGGTTTTTAGTCAGTACGAGTCTGACACTCCCTCCCGCCTCACCCAGGCGGGTGAAGTCATTTCATAAATTTCCCCCCTTAAAAAAATTCTACTAGTCGAAATCCTCGTGAAATAATTACGTGAGTAAACCGAAAACCATAATAATTAAGTCGAGTAGTACTTTATCTTGAAAATGACGTAAATAACAATAAAAAATGTAAGGTATAGAAAAAATATATGCTGTAGCCAGAGCTTACCTGTGGGCCACTCTGAAAGAGGTTTTCCCTCAACTGTGGCTGAATATCGGCTTTGTCCTGAGACTTTTCAAAATGAAATATGAATGTGACATAATTGGGTACTTACCTTAAAAAAATATTCGACTGTCCAATACAATACAACATTGAAAAGTAATCATACTTTCATTAATTGATTTTATGACCAACTTAATTTTAGTATTTTTCCAGCGAATTTTTAAGAAACAAGTTACACACCTATGCTGTTTCACGCTAATAAAACGTGATGTCACAATACACAATTTCTTCATAGAAAACTGTCTTTTTTGACAGTTCGAAAAAAGTATTGAATTTGACTAGTTATCAAATACGGAATATTTTTATCACAACAAATAATCTCCTATTACTCCTACTAACTTAAAAATAAAACTAAACTTAGGTACGTCACCAAACAAGAACGAAACAAATCGTCTACCACAAACCACAAACATAATGAGCTATTACTCAAAAACAACGCATTTATAAAGCAAATAGCGACCAGTAATCCACAGCATAATAGAAATACAAGATAACAATGGACATTGCAAGGGTTTAAAAGCTTTCTTCGATAAATCACGGACCGCGGTGAGGGGTTGAAAAACCCCCTCACTTAGGGGCAGACCTCACAATAGACAGATATAATTACACAAGTATTATAGGAAGATTATATGTTTCGCGAAGTCATTATAGCTTTTCTTTTTTTTTCTTTTTATGACATTGTTGTTGGTAATTGTTTTCGGATGGTGGCGAAGTGCGTTGATTGATTGTGTCTATGGTAATGGGTATTTTAATCTGTGGTTTGGAATTTTGGCGGGGTGATGGGGAAATGTCTCACGGTCTTGGTGTAAATAGAAAGAAAATGTGTTTATTGTTGTAATTGTTAATGGTGATTATTTTTACGATCTGGTGGTGAAGTTATGAAGTTGGGTTTCCAAATAAATTACTTATAACAATTTTTCTTAGAAGGTTTCTCTTGTGGCGTGGGTGCTTTTACTAACAGTTACATATTTTCTAATTGTTTCTAATTGTCATCATTAGCTACTCCATACAGGCCTTTTATTTTTTCAGATTTTGATATCCGATATCCAAGTAGATTTTATTGGCCACAGAACACGTGCCAATGTGTTTAAATTTTTTTACTGACGGTGAATATGTAAGATAAATAGACGAAAGAGAAATGAAAAAGCAGATACTTACACAAATATGTGCATATTTTTTTAAACAAAATGATGAACCAGTTTTTCACGGTAAAGGAGCCTTGCTGCTACCTACTTAAACAAAAAATTGTAACAATACCTCTCGCGCGTTTCTCGTACACACGGGTAAACGCGCGTTTCTCGTACACCCGTGTGTACGAGAAACGCGCGAGAGGTGTCCATCGTAGTAAAGTAGTAGCGAATAAATGTCGTGCGTAGCAGCGTAGACCTCCGGCGT